AAGAAATAAATTGTGATAATTTAGCTTATATTGTTTACTCTTCTGGAACTACTGGAAAGCCTAAAGGTTTGGGAAAATTTTTTTGATTAAAAAAATTTTGGCTCTTGTCCAGTTCATGCGTCCCATGAAGATTTATGCGTCCCAAGAGAATTTATGAGTCCCATAAAAATTTATGCGTCCCAAAAATATTTTATGCGTCCCATAAAAATTTGTGCGTCCCATGAAATGAATTGAAAAAATATTGCAAAATTAAAAAACGTTTAAAAAATGTGTTTGTTATAAAGCCTTGCTCAAGGGCCAACGAGTCAATTTTTTGGGCCAATGTTATGTTAAGTTATGTTAAGTTATAGAACTCGTCGAGCTGTGTCGAATGACACCAAAATCAACTTGATTGGACAAGATTTGACAAGGATATGACATTAAGTAGACCTATCAGAGTCGGCGACTTAAGTCAAAATTTTGTCAAATTTTGTAATTTTTGAATATTTTTTCAATTCATTTCATGGGACGCATAAATTATTTTTGGGACGCATAAATTTTTATGGGACGCATAAATTATTTTTGGGACTCATAAATTTTCTTGGGACGCATAAATTTTTATGGAACTCATAAATCTTCATGGGACCCATAAATTTTCATGGGACGCATGAACTGGACAAGAGCCAAAATTTTTTGTCCGCAAAAGTTTTGCGGACAAAAAATTTTCGTCCGCAAATTTTTTGCGGACTTTTTTTGTCCGCAAATAATTTTAGATTTGCTTTTTGATTCAAAAATAAATTTTTTACAGGAATAAAATGCCCACATAGAGGAGCTGTTATATCGTATTTTTTAAATTTATTTACCCAAAAAATTCATTTTTTAAAAGATATAAATGGCGCTTCCTCAACTATCCTTACAGTGATGACGATATTGAAGGTTTGTGAGAAGTTTTTTTTTGAATTTTTAATATTTTTCTTGTGAGAAGTATAACTTGCGGATAATATTTGCGGACTTTATTTGTCTGCAAAATAGTTGCGGACTTTTTTCTAGGTTTTTGTGGACTTTCTTTGTCTGCAAACATTTGGCTGATATTTTTGTCCGCAAATGTTTCTAGATTCCTTTTTTAATTGAAGGTTTGCGAGAATTTTTTGGGAGAAGTATGGCTTGCGGATAATATGTTGCGCACTGACATTTTTGTCCGCAAAATACTTGCGGACTTTTTATACTGGGTTTTGTGGACTTTCTTTGTCCGCAAATATTTTGCGGATTTTTCCTGTCCGCAAATAATATCCGCAAGTTTCTTGTAAAAGATTTTCAAAAAAAGACTTTATTTCCAGCCTGTAATGTCTTCTTTGTCTGGGAAATGTTTCGTCCTATATTACAAGGAATTACTTTAGTTTGTATTTTTTTAATTTCATAATTTTGTCCATATTTTAGGTAATAATCCCAGATTCTGTTATTTATGACCCTCACAGTCTGTGCAATTTTTTGGCAAAAAATCAAATAACTAGAATGCTTTTTACCCCTTCACTGTTGGAAATGGTTTTGGATACTCAAGATGAAGTTAATTTTTTAAATTATTTTTTAAAGAAAAAATATTTTTTAGGAAACACTTACAAGGGCGTTTCAATGTATAAGGTAAATTGCAAAAAATTTTTTGAAAAAAAATTTGGGGGTTGAAAAAGGTTTTGGGGGTAGGAGAACAGTCAGAAATGTCACCTAAATATTTTAACGGTCACTTAATATTTTTTTAAAAATTTTCGAAATGACTTTTTGTCCGCAAAATATCTGTGAACTTACCTATAGAAGGACCCCTTCATTCTAGAAATATTTCTGACCTTTAAAGTGCCCACATTTGCGGACAAAACTTGCGGAGCGCAAGCAAGGGCATTGATTGGGGTGCCATATCCTAATCATATTTTTGGTGGCATGTCATTTAATGTTTTTAAAATGTTTGTCCGCAAGTATTGTCCGCAAAAATACCGCTTTTTATCAAATTAATTATTTTTTTAGAATAGTTATTTTATGCGGAGAAGTTGTTACTTGTGCATTATTAGAAAGATTTATTCGTCATTTTCCACATGTCCGCTGCATCAATCTTTATAGTATATCAGAATGTCATGATGTTGCTGTAGCCGATTTAAATGAATTTTATAATAATAAAAATGAAAGGCGTCAATTTGCACCTGTTGGAAAGGTTTATTGAAAAATTTTTATTTAAAAAATTAAGTATGGACTGTTTGTCCGCTTAAATTGTCCGCAAATCTCGTGTAGAATCCGAAGCCTAATATCCGGACCAGGGCTGGCCGCAACTGTAGATTGCGTAAATTGATGGTTTTTTGACTTGCGGACGGCGGATTGCGGTTGCGGAAAATTTTTTTCAGTTGTGTCCAGCCCTGATTCGGACCCTAGACATTCTCGACCGAAACCTGGCTCTTAGAAATTTTCGAAACCTCGACCCAATCTTAACTTTTCTCAGTCCGACCCATCCTTGATAAGGACACAATTTCAATTTATTTTTTAGGTAATTGAAGGAGTTAAAATTTTAATTTTGGACGAGAAAACGATGAAGCGTGTTCCAATTGGTGTACCTGGAGAGGTTTATTTTAAATACTTTTTATTAAAAACATTTTTAAAAATTAGATTTACGTAGCAGGACCAACTTTAGCAATTGGTTATATTAACCGTCCGGAAATAAATGCTGAACGGTTTGTTCCGTTACCTGAAGAATATCAAAAAGAAATGGGATCTCAACGAATGTACAGGTTCAAAAATTTTTTTTTCAGTAAAAAAATTTTGCGGACGAATTTTTGTCCGCAAGATTTGTCCGCAAAATGTGCTCCTTTCCCCTACTATTGAAAAATTTATTTTTAATAGAACTGGTGATTGGGGTTATTTATTGCCCAATTTGGTTCTTGAAATTTGTGGACGTTGCGATACAACAGTTAGAATTAGAGGATACAGCGTTGAACTCCAAGCAATTGAAGCGGCTCTTTTAAATTTAAATCATGTTCGTTCTTGTACTGTAATTTCTATTGGAAATGAAGGAGAAGATAAACAGGTTAAATTTAGAAATTTTTCTTATTAATTGGGGGGCAAATCCCCTTTCAGGCAAAAAATATTTTTCGGAAGCTGGAGTCCTCAATAATGATTTTGAAAAAGTCCGCAAAAGTTGTCCGCAAAAAGTTTTTCATTTTTAAAAAAGTACGCAAGTTTTGTCCGCAAAATTTTTCATATTAAAAAGTCCGCAAGTGTTGGTCGCAAAATCTTTTCGTATTAAAAGGCATATAAAGAAGTTTAGTTTGTTGAGTTGATTAACTAAAACCCATCAAAAATCAACCAAAAAATTTTTGCGGACAACTTGCGGACTTTTTTAAAATCAATTGCGGACTCATAAATTCAGTTTTCATTTGATTTTATTTTGTCTGTAAGGTGTTTTGCTCCCTTTAAAAATTTTGAAATTTTTTTTAATTTAGTTAGCTGCATATATCGTTTTACGAGATAAGCAAATTACTCGTAAACAACTGAGAGCACAACTGAAACGAGTTTTGCCATTTTATATGATGCCTCAATATTTTATTTTTATGGAAAAGTATTTTTTTATATTTTTAAAATTTTATTTTTAATTTAAAAAAGACTTCCATTATTGGCCGCGTCTTCAAAAATTGACAAAAAAGCTCTTCCTTCAGTTAATTTTGCTCGTGATGTTGTTGAAATAGATGCATTACCTCAAACTGAAAATGAAAAGGAATTGGCTAAAATTTGGATTGAAATATTACATTTGGGGAGTAATGGACATTTGGATATACAAGAAAGCTTTTTTGATATGGGAGGGTATGTATTTTTTATGAATAATTTTTAAAATGATAAAAATTTGCGGACAGCTTTTGCGGACTAATTTTTGCGAGTTGATTTTTGAGCTGCTTTTACGGAGCTCTTAAGAGTCCGCAAAACTGGGAAATGTCCGCAAAAATCAGAAAAGTCCGCAAAAATTAGAAAAGTCCGCAAAAGTAGGAAATGTCCGCAAAAACGCGAAAAATGTCCGCAAAAGTGGAAAATGTCCGCAAAAATGAAAAATGTCCGCAAAAACTGGGAAAAGTCCGCAAAAGTGTGAAATGTCCGCAAAAATGAAAAATGTCCGCAAAAATGAAAAATGTCCGCAAAAATTAGAAAAGTCCGCAAAAATTAAGAAAAGTCCGCAAAAACTAATTTACATCTTTTAGACATTCTCTTTTGGCTGCTCGTCTTTTAAATGCTGTAAATACTCGATTTGGTTCACATTTAGGAATTCGTGAATTATTTACAGCTCCAACAGTTTACGCAATGGCCAAATTATTAGATGGTAGTCAAATAGAAAGATCATCACCTGAACAAATAATTGATTTGGAACAACAAATTGAAGCAAATGATTTGAAGGGAGATATGTATGTTTTTGTTTTTTTTTGTTGGAGAGTTTTTTAAACCGCTAGGCATCGAACCTGGTTGTCAGTAAAGTCCAAGTCGGGGGTGTTACCCACTTAACCACAAAGTCCGCAAATACTGCTCCCACCACTTTGGCATGTCACTTGAAGTGAAACAAATCAAAAACTACCTAAAATCAACCATTGTCCTCTGTTCGGCATCGAACCTGGGTGTCAGTAAAGTCCAAGTCGGGGGTGTTACCCACTAAACCACGGAAACGAAAAAGTCCGCAAATACTACTTACCCCACTCTGGCATGTCACCCCCGAAGTGAATACGAGTCAAGGACTATCAAAAATAATCCAATATCTTCCGCTAGGCATCGAACCTGAGTATCCGAAAATTCCAAGTCGGGGCCCTTACCCACTAAACCACGGAAACGAAAAATCTACAATTTACCTCCCCAACTGACGGGTTACTTAAAGTTAATGAAGGTCAAGAATCTAAAAAATTGCCACTGTCACCCGCAGGGCATCGAACCTTGGTATTTGAAAAGTAATGTAAGTCGGGGATGTTAACCACTAAACTACAGAAACGAAAAATCTAAAATTTTATTTTAAAGCATGGATCTTCACCTTCGAGCATTTTGGCGTGCAACTGAATGGAAAAAACGTTTCCACGCAGCTAATGTCTTTTTAACTGGCGTAACAGGCTTTCTTGGTTCCCATTTATTAGCTCAATTACTATCCTCTTCAAAAACAAAAATAACTTGTCTTATTAGAGAATCATCAAATAATAGTAATGAAACTGTTGAAGAAAGGCTTTTGTCCACAATGAAAAGGAATGGGTTATTTAATGAAAAAATTGGAGAAGAAAATTTTAGGTTTGGAGAGAAGATTTTTAAAAGAAAAATTATTTTTTAAGAGAACAAGTACGTGTTGTTTCTGGTGATATTGCGCTAGTTCAGTTTGGTTTGTCTGATGAGGTGATTTATGGAAAATATTTTTTTTAATGGTTTAGTGTCATTTGCGGATAAACCTTTGCGGACAAAATTATTTTTTGCAGACAAAATTAGTCTTCTATACCCAAGACTTGGAACAAAAGACTAGGGGTAATCCTAACGAGAATCTCAAATTTATTATAGCTCGGACCAAGACTAGATCCTTAACTTGCTAAGGAGCAAAGTCTTGCTTAAAGAATTATACTCAGTTTTTGATCATCCCATAAATGGGAGGAATGCGCCGTTCCCGGAGGTAAGTGCAAGACCGGGCCGACGCGCGGCAGAGAGGAAGCAAGCTTCCAACTCACGCCCTTTTCCAAAAATTGGTTAATCTCTTTGACCCCGGTAGGGGTCATTACGGAGATTAAGCCGTAAAGAACAGATACTACACTTTGATCTTAGCCAAAAGGCCGAGAAGCGATGGCTAAACCGTAAAAGTAACTAATGAAATGAATTTTCGATTAAACTAAAAAGAATGGGGAGTAGAAAAGGTAGAGAATTTATTGGGAGAAAATGTAGGAGAGAGAATGTTTTTCTATTTATGAAGATAAAAGGGGAAGGAGAATAGTATAGTGAAAAGAGTAAAAATAAATGTTATAGAGAATAAGAGAGGGGATTTTCTTTACACTTCCACGCAAAATGGCCTATTTTCTCCTATGTTCTATTTTGTCGGTTTTGCCCGTATGTACCGTGTTGTCGTTTTTTGCCGTATGTACCATTCTGTCTTTTTCGTCCGCAAAAAATTTTACGTTTAAAAATTTTTTGGGTGATAATGATTTTTTAAAATATTTTTTTATAAAATCCGCAAATGTCGCTATACCATTAAAATTTTAATTTTTTTATTTTTTTTAATTTTGAAAAAAAAATCTTTTTTAAAGGATTACCATTTTCTTTCGTATGATATTGATGTTGTCTTACACGCGGTTAATTTATAAAATTATTTTTTAAATAATTTTATTTTCGTTTTTAAGGCAGCCTATGTCAATTTAATTTATCCTTATCAGGTAAATATTTTTTTTAATTAAAAAAAAAATTTTTTTTGAAAGGCTCTACATGGATGTAATGTAGTTGGGACAAGAAATATAATTGAATTTTGTTTTAAAAATAAAATTAAACCTTTGCATTATATCAGGTTTTTTTAAAAATTTAGAAGGATTTTTTGTTTAAAATTAAATTTTTTAGTACGGATGCAGTCTTTCCTTGTGGATTAATTGATGTAGATGAAGACACCCCTCCAACTGATACTTTTGAAAAGCTTGGTGATGGATATGGTCAAACTAAATATGTTGCTGAACAATTAGTTCTAAGGTTTTTTTTGTAAAGGATTGGGAGGTGCCCTCACTTTTTCTCTAACCTTTTCTCAAGTTTGTGTTCTCCCGTCATTCAAAAAACTTTGAGTTAGACTGACAAGGGGCAACCCGAACTGCTGAAGACCCATAACTGACCGAAACTGCTCTTTACAAGGGAAAGGGAACATCGGATACTTTTTACAAAATTTTGATATTTTTTGGTATCAATCCGTAGAGAAACCACGACTTCCTATTGCGAAGTGTTGCTGTTTTTTGCAATGCGGATTACGCAGTATCCGATGTTCTCTTGTTTGGGGAAAATTTTAAAAATAAAATTCAAAAAATTGACAATATGTGAACGTGATAGAAATTTTGGGGAATTTTTTTAAAAAAAAAGTGGACACCAAATATAGCACCAAATGTTGAATATTTCTCTCAATCTTTTGCTAACTATTGCCAAAAAAACCTTATTTCTTTTTTATTTCCAGAGCCAATTATCGTGGTTTGCCAACAATTATTTATCGACTAGGCAATCAGGCAGCACCAATTAATGGATCTAACTGGAACCCACAAGATTTTACTTATCTGTTATTATTGTCAACATTAAAAATGAATTTAGCACCAAATTTGGGAGAATGGGAGGTTTGTTTTTTTAATTTTTTGATTTTAAATTTCCCCTCCAAAAAAAGTATCCGCAAGTTTTGTCCGCAAAAATATTCAAAAATTTTAAATTTTCAAAAATGACTTGCAGTCATCGTTTCCTTCAAGAAATATAAATGGACGGGGAATTTCGGAAATTTAGGACAGGAAATTTTTATTGAAAAAGCCTAACAGCCAATTTTCCCCCGAAGAGTTCTCTCCCAAAGATTCTCCCCGATGGTTTGGGACTAACCTCAGGTATAATAAATGTATGACATGCGAATAAAACCTGCGGACTTTTTTTGGGGAGCACGCGGGGGAAGAATCTCGATTCTGAGTTATTTTTTGGGGAATTCAGGAGATCATGGACAAAAATTTTTTTTTTAATTTATACTGACTAACAGTCTATTTTCCCCGAAGAGTTCTCCCCGCTGGGTTAGGACCAAAAAATAAATGTATGACATGCGGATAAAACTTGCGGACTTTTCAGGGAGCACAAAGGGGAAGAACCCTGTGATTCTGAGTAATTTTTTTGAATTCTAAACCTTTAAAATAAAATAATTTTTTTTCAAAAGGTTGAATTAACTCCAGTCGATTTTTCTGCTCAATTTATTGTTCGTATTTTAAGTGAAATGTTTTGTGAAAATACTGGCCGAATATTTCATTTAATTAATTCTGGAAAAGGAGTTGTAAAATGGAAACAAATAATTGAATGGTTAAAAATTGTTGGTTTTGAAGAAATTAAAGAAATTGAAATTGATGAATGGATTAAAATGTTTGGTTTTTTTTATTTTTGGGGAGAGGGGTGGTGGAAATAATTATTTTTTCTCCTCTCCCATCAGGGTTGTTTCGATTCTTGAAAAATCTTGAGATACCCGAAACCGAAAAATTGAAACTTAAAAATCCCCGGTTCTTCGGTTTGGTTCATTTCCTAACCTACAACCCTATTTTTATGTTCCAAAAATGTCCGCAAGTTTTGTCCGCAAATATATTAGGGAGCAGATTTTAAAAGAAATTTTTTTACAGGGATAGGATACAAAAAAGGGGTGGGTTATTCTCATGGTTGCGTGCTTCGGAAATGTTTTTGAGAAAAGAATCAAAAAAATAATTTGCGGACAAGACTTGCGGATTTTTCGGAAATTTGCGGACAAAAGTTGCGGGCTTTTTTTTTGGGGGGGGGGGGGGGCTTCTGGTGGGGGATATGTTCGCTATCTGTCCATTCTCTAATACAAAAATATTTTTTTTTAATTATTAAGGATTAATGAATCTTCATCTGAAGAAGTTTGTATACAACAATTACAAAAACTAGTCCAAGGAGGATTATTCCAGTAATTTTTTATTCTCTAAAAAATTAATTTTTATTTTAAAGAAATAATGGAATAATTAATTTAACACAAAGCAAATTTTTGAGAACTAAAACAAACAAATTACTTGAGGATCTTAATTGGAAATACCCAACAATTTGTGAAACAATTATTCGTGAATGGATTGAAAAACTTGTTAAATCCCATGTAATACAACGCCCAAAATCAACAAAAGATAATTGTAATGGGTTTTTTTAAAGGGGAAAATTTTTTATGGTATCAAGAAAACCACTCATATGTTACCAATTGCTAAATGACAGGGTCTTTTGTCCGCAAATAAAAAATAATTTGCGGACAAAATAAAAATAATTTGCGGACAAATGTTGCGGACAAAATAAAAATTTGCGGACGAATGTTGTGGACTTTTTGGGGGGGGGGGGGGCTTCTGTAGTTACTTACATATTCTCTATACAAAAATATGTGCATATTTAGCATTTTTAAATATTTTTGACGACTTACCTTTTTTAAATATTTTTCCCTTTTTACCATTTTTGTTTATTTTTTTTCCACTTCTCAACACAGACTCAACTGTACCTCTTCCTTTTTCCTATTTTTATGGCTCCTATACAACTCATCCAATCGTTAACTCATCCAATCGTTAACTCATCCACACGGCCAAAAAGGGGTCAACTCATCCAATCGTTAACTCATCTAATCGTTAACTCATCCACACGGCCAAAAAGGGTCAACTCATCCAATCCTTCGGAACGAGACTATTGAGTATCGGCCGGTTGAGTCCATGGCCAGTAGAGTACCGCCGGTTGAGACTCAACTAGCCATGGACTCAACTGGTCATGGACTCAACTAGCCATGGACTCAATTAGCCATGGACTCAACTAGCCATGGACTCAAACGGCCATGGACTCAACTAGCCATGGACTCAAACGGCCATGGATTCAACTAGCCATGGACTCAAACGGCCATGGACTCAACTGGCCATGGACTCAATTAGCCATGGACTCAACTGGCCATGGACTCTGGACTCAAACGGCCATGGACTCAACTGGCCATGGACTCTACTTACCAGAGACTCAGACGGCCAAAGACTCAAACGGCCGGTACTCAATAGTCTCGTTCCGAAGGATTGGATGAGTTGACCCTTTTTGACCGTGTAGATGAGTTAACGATTAGATGAGTTAACGTTTGGATGAGTTGACCCTTTTTGGCCGTGTGGATGAGTTAACGATTAGATGAGTTAACGATTGGATGAGTTGACCCCTTTTTGGCCGTGTGGATGAGTTAACGAATTTTAGCCGTTTAGATGAGTTGAACGTTTTTGGCCGTGTGGATGAGTTAACGATTGGATGAGTTAACCGGACACGATTTTTATTTTTTTTCTCTAATCGTCTAATTTCTTTTTTGCCTATTCTCTATTGTTTTCTTTCGCCACATAATCGCTACTAAATATATTTTCCAGTTATTCGCGTCTCTATCTATAAAATCGTTCGATAATAATTTTTTAGCAAGCAAAAGTAACTAAAATTTAAACGCGCCATTTATTCTTTCTTATTTTCTTCTTATTTTCTTCTTCTTCATCAAAAAATGTCACAAATACGTTCACAAAAAAATCAAGAAAAATATTCTCATGACGGATTTATTTATGTAAAAGATCGAATTAGCAGTATAGGAGACAAAATATTTTGGCGTTGTGATTTGTTGAATCATGGATGTAAAGGTTTCTTTTTTGAAGGGTTTTTGAAGTTTTTCTCTTAATTTTTAAAGGAAGAATCCACACAGCCTCTGATATTGAAAGAACTTTCATAAAATTGGTGACAGAACATACTTGCTCGTTAACTGGAAATGCTGCTAGAGTTGGGGTTCAAAAAGCTGTTAGTGCTGTTAGAAGTCGAGCAAGGGAATCGTTGGATATGGTTCCTAGCCAGATAAGAGCGTCTGTGGTTGAAGAACTTCCGGAAGCTATTTTAGGTTTTTTTTTTCATTTTTTAAAGTTTTTACGAGTAGAGTTGCTTTTTGGTGACTTTTAGAGAATTTGCGGATTTTTCGAGAATTTGCGGACTTTTCGTAAATAGTCCTTCAATGATTAATTGTGCAATCGCACCGAAAATTATTTTTAAAAAAGTCCGTTAGTAATTTGCGGATTTTTTTTTGCGGATTTTCAGTGTGGCAAATATTTGTCCGCAAAAAATTTACGGATTGTCCGCAAAAAATTTGCGGACATTTTTTTAAAGTCCGCAAAAAATTTGCGGACTTTAAAAAAATTTTTTATCAAGAAAAAATTTACAAAATGCCAACTCACTCTTAAAAAGTTCCATTGAGTATCAATCATCTTTAAAAAAATTTTTTTAGGAAGAATGCCCAATCAAAATGCCTTAAGAAAAGTAGTACAAAGAGCGCGTTATATTGATCGAAAACCACCAAAAATAATCACAAAAACATCTCCAAAACATCGCATAGATTTTTCATACTTACAACAACAAGCACAAAATTCCTCATCTGCTGATGTTGATAATGAAAGTTTTGTTTTGTCAGATTTTAATGTTGGGGCTGAAGAACAAGCTGAGGAACAATTGTCGGTTTTTGGTTGTGAGTTTTGTTTCTTTGAAGAGAGGGAAGGTTTTTTTTGATTATTTGGTGGAGAGTGGAGGTCAGGGGGGGGAGTTACGAAATCCCACTCCTACAATCCTTCGTCTTCTGATCCTGATATTGATCGAATCGAATCACGTATTGATCTATGGTTTGAGTGGAGGTGGGACCTATTCCAAGGGATTCCTTTTTTATCGCATGGGGGACTTCTGCAAACGCGAATTTCTGTAGACTTCTATTGGCAAGTATCTGGCTACAAATAAAAAATATGCTCATATTTAATATTAGAATTTTTATTTGTTTTGCATTTGAGTCTTGATTTATTTCATTTTTTTTCTTTCATTTTTTCTTCCATTTTTTTCTTATTTTCATTTCACTATAATTTATTACTAAACAAAGTGGTTATCTTGATACCTTAAAATTTTTTAAATTTTAATTTTCAAAACCAATCCCAAAAAAAATTTTTCTTTTAACAGACCCAAAATCGTTGTCTGGAAATGTTTGCATTATAACTGGAGCAAGTGAAGGTATTGGTGCATCAATAGCTCAAGCATTGGCTCAAGAGACGGGTGTTTTTGCTGTTTTGGCTTCTAGACAGCTTAGCCTTTTGGAGGATACAATTAAACGACTACCAACAGATCGGTATATCATTATGAATTAATTATTAAAAAAAAGTCCGCAAAAATTGTCCGCAAATTTTTTTAAAAATTTTTCTTGGTTTTTTTGGGTTTCTCCTGTGTATTGTGACTTTTAATTTTGTAATTTAATTTTGTACGGCATCAAAAATGATTTGAAAAGCCGCAAAAAATTGTCCGCAAATTAAAAAGAGTTTGTATTTATCCGCAAAAAATTTGCGGACAATTTTCCTATCTTCTTTTTTCTAACTTGGCTTATTTTACTCAAAAATTTTTTATTAACTAAATTATTATATTTTTAGCTTTATCGCCACAAAATGCGATATTACTAAAAGGACCGAAGTTCAAGAATTGGTTCGACAAACAATTCACAGATTTGGGCGAATTGATATTTTGATTAACTGTGCTGGTGCTATGTACTACACAATGGCTTATAAAGGATATACTGAGGTTTTTTTAAATTTAAGATTGTATTCCAACAAATCCGGTCTTTCTTTTCTGTAATCTAGCAAAGTCCGCAAATTTAAAATCGCAAATTTAAAAAGTCCGCAAATTCAAAAAAAATCCGCAAATTTTAAAAAATCCGCAAATTTTGTCCGCAAGTTTTGTACTTGAACTAAAAGGTCCTTTCAAAGTCCGCGTCTTATTTCGGACTTTGTTTTAACTAACGTAGACTCGAAAGAACATTATAATATTCCTAAAAAAATTTTTAGAATTTTTATTTTTTATCATTTTTAGGAATGGCATCGCCAAATTGAAGTCAACATTCATGGAACTACAAACATTATTGGTGAAATAATCCCTCACATGGTTGAACACCATTCTGGCCATATTCTTACAATTACTTCGGATGCTGGAAAAAGGGTTTACTTTTGATTAATTTTTTAAATATTTTCCGCAAATCCTTCCAAAAGTCCGCAAGTTCATAAGTCGGAAGTTTTTTTTTCTTCTTCCCAAAATGATTTATTTTTTTCTATAAAAGATTGTTGTTGATTTATGTCTCCAAAAGTCCTCTCTTTCTTCTTTCCTTATAAAATAAATGTTAACGATTTGCGGACAAAACTTGCGGACTTTTGGAAACATAAAGTTAAAGAGCCAAAATCGAGTTTTCTTTTAGGCTTTCCCCGGTTTAGCTGTTTATTCTGGCACAAAATTTTACTTGGAAGGCTTCATTTCTGCTTTGCGTCAAGAACTTGTTGAATATGGAATTAGATTTACAAATATACAACCTGGGGATGTTGCTACTAAATTGGCTAGTCGATCAACGGATGTTGAGGTTTTTTTTAATTTTTTTGATTAAAAATATTTTTTGAATTTAGGCACGTGAAAAATACGATGGATCCGAGGCTGGACACAAAATTTTGACTGGAGAGGATATTGCAAGGGTATATTTTTGAGAGACTTTGGGATTAGAAGGGTTGCCAAACAGTCTCGGGTCGAAAAAATGGACGGTCCTGGAGGTCTTCGGAGTCGTCGTCCTTCGGCATTTTTGAGACTCAAACGGCCCTATTCAAAGATTGGCCTGAAAAAAATTTTCCCAGGCTTTGACCCAACACGAGAGATTCTCGAAAGCTCAAAGGGGTGCCTTGTAGGAGGAGTTGGAAAAATTTTCCCCAAGAGGAATTTCTTTTTTATTTTTTTCTTCAACAAACTCGAAATTGCCCCCACTACTCGATGGGATAAATACAAACTTTAAACCCCTTAACTATTTTCTAATCAAAAATTCTTTCTTTTTAGTCTGTTCTATTTGCACTCACACAACCACAACATGCTGCAATTAACGAGTTATTAATAGAACCTCAAGCAGCTCCTATTTGATTTTTTTTTTAAAGTTTTTATTTTATAAGAAATTTTTTTTTTAATTTCGATAATATTTTTTTTTTAATTTTTTCCCTTTATTATTGTTTAAAAAATTTTGCTTTTACAGCTGAAATAAATTTTTTATGGGCATAATACTAATATTTATTTTTTTCTCTAACTACACTATTTTTTTCTGTTTCTCTAAGTAACAGGACACAGTCCGCTGGCAGGCAGACATTTGAGGACGGACTTTTGAGGACGGACATATGGGGACGGACATTTAAGGACGGACATTTGAGGATACAAAATTATATACAAATCGGCAAAATCTTAACAAAAAATGCCAAAAATTAGTGAAATATTGAAATAAATTATGATTTATTTGTAACATAAAATGAAAAAGAGCTTAATTTTAGTAAAGAATGCTTGAAACCAGAGAAAATCGTCATTTCAGGACAGAAAATTAAGGAAAAGATATCTTGTGCAATTTCAGATGGACATAAGACATTTTGGGGATGCTTAGTGGATTTTGAGTTTTTTTCAGTGGAAGGTTTTGAGGGCTTATGTTCAGAGGGTGTTTCGAGGCATATTATGTTTATAGCTCGACAAATTGAGTATTTTACTCTGTTGGACATTTTGAGATTAGGCAAAAGATGGGATGTTTTAAGGGTTTGCTCATTTTCGGGTTTATTCATTGGGACATTTTTTCTTACTTTAAATAAGCTAGGATTTCCCCTTTTCAGCGCCGCAGGCGAAAATTTTGGAAATTTCTGAGGACAATCGCCAAATTTTTTCACTTTTTCTGAAAATTTATGAAAATTCACAAAATTTTGGCAAAAATTTGCAACAATATTGAAATAATTTGCAAAAAGTGCCAAATATTGAAATAACGGACAAATTGGCTAATTTTGTAGTTATTTTTTATTTTTTCCATATATCCGTCCTCAAATGTCCGTCCTCATATGTCCGTCCCCATATGTCCGTCCTCATATGTCTCACCACCAGTCCGCTGAGTACCGGACAGTTGAGTCTAACGGCTTAAAATTTAAGAAATTAAGGGGGATATTGGTGAGTAAGAGATTTAAAGTTAGTAACAGGGTCCTTGAATTTCTCCGATATCCCCGAACACAAAATTTAAAAACGATTTAAATACAAATTTATCAAAAAAAACATAAAAATCACAGCAATTTTCCACCTTGTTAAGTTTCGAGAACCTCAGCAGCTACGTATTCAAGAACGGCTGCCATGTTCAAAAATTCCTTCGATATAAACGAATTTAAAAAACAAATAAATCTAAATTTTATAAAAACTAAAAAACCTCCACAGTATGGAATAGAAACCTCATCACAGCCATGAAGTAGAAACTTCGTCTAGAGATCGAACTGGGTCTGGACCAAGGCCTGGAAAACTTCGTCACTAAAGACCCCCCCCCCTAGGTCTGGACCGGTCTAGGGTTTTTCCTGTACCCAGAGTCCAGGCATTTTTTTAACTGCCGTTTTTCCTGGACTACAGGCCCAGAATCATGCCCAGGTCAACAAATCAAACTCGGAACCCAGGAACAGGCCCAGGCTTTTCAAAAAATCTCGATACCGAACTAATTAACTCTGGATAAACTTGCGGACAAAACTTGCGGGTGTTTATAAAATAAAAAAACAAACTATTTGTTGTAAACAAGTCTTCTATTTGCATTTGTGATTTTGCTGTTGATTGAATTTTTTACTCTGTCCTGTCCTGAAATTTTATTACTCTCTGTCATGGCTGTGCGCCAAAATTTTCGAAATTTTCAATTCCCAGGGGTCAAAATTCATCCTTATTTAGCGCCGAAAACAAAAATTTTGCAAATTTATTAAGTTCAAGGGTCAGAAATCCCCCCCTTTATATCAAAGAATTCAAAAGAAATGAGAAAATCGGAGTGGGGTGAAGTATGTTGTAACATGAACGTTTGGAGTGTAGGGTAAGTGCGTGTGTGTGTGTGTGCATGTGGCGTGCGTGTGTGTCGTGCGTGTGATGCTAGTGTTAATGCAGCATGCCGGGTACAAAGTTTTCCAATAAATCGGCCTAGTTCCTTCAAATCCAATTAATCTTCCGCTATCTGACAAATCACTTGATATCCGTGATATCCTTCTACCAATATCACTCTTAAGATCACTCGATACCTTTCCTACTGAAACAAAAGAGAAGCTATTGCGAGAAAATGTTATTTTATGGGGTGTATACCGCGAAACATTTTAGGACCGATAGACGGTTTTCGGGCGGGGATTGTATCGGGAAAAACTGAAAAAATCGTTTGTCAACGGGATCGGGGTACAACACTAGTTTGAAGAGAAAAAACAGTTAAGGAGCATATTAGGGGACGGACTTGAAAAGATTAAGAGCATTTGAAGGATATCGGGTGATTAAAGAAAAGAGCAGATGAATTTGACATATATCGGGAAGATCAGCTGAATTAAAGATCATGACTCCGAAATAATATAATTTGGGTTCCAGTTCGTAGCCGAGGCATGATATTGATATTTTTTAATTTAGGAAGGCAGACAGAAAAATTCCCTTTTATGATCATCCCTCCTCCCATATATTTAAAAAATTCCATCATTGGGGTGTAAAATTTTGTATTTTTTGCGTGCCAAAAGATGAAAATCATGCAAACGCACGCCAAAACGCAATGGTGCACATTCGTTTTTCTCACTACCAACCCTACATTGAGAAACTCTCCGCATAGCCAACTCCGCATTAAGAGGAGCCAACCCTACATTGAGAAACTCTCCGCATAGCCAACTCCGCATTAAGAGGAGCCAACCCTACTTTGAGAAACTCTCCGCATAGCCAACTCCGCATTAAGAAGAGCCAACCCTACTTTGAGAAACTCTCCGCATAGCCAACTCCGCATTAAGAAGAGCCAACCCTACTTTGAGAAACTCTCCGCATAGCCAACTCCGCATTAAGAAGAGCCAACCCTACTTTGAGAAACTCTCCGCATAGCCAACTCCGCATTAAGAAGAGCCAACCCTACTTTGAGAAACTCTCCGCATAGCCAACTCCGCATTAAGAAGAGCCAACCCTACTTTGAGAAACTCTCCGCATAGCCAACTCCGCATTAAGAAGAGCCAACCCTACTTTGAGAAACTCTCCGCATAGCCAACTCCGCATTAAGAGGAGCCAACCCTACTTTGAGAAACTCTCCGCATAGCCAACTCCGCATTAAGAAGAGCCAACCCTACTTTGAGAAACTCTCCGCATAGCCAACTCCGCATTAAGAAGAGCCAACCCTACTTTGAGAAACTCTCCGCATAGCCAACTCCGCATTAAGAAGAGCCAACCCTACTTTGAGAAACTCTCCGCATAGCCAACTCCGCATTAAGAAGAGCCAACCCTACTTTGAGAAACTCTCCGCATAGCCAACTCCGCATTAAGAAGAGCCAACCCTACTTTGAGAAACTCTCCGCATAGCCAACTCCGCATTAAGAAGAGCCAACCCTACTTTGAGAAACTCTCCGCATAGCCAACTCCGCATTAAGAGGAGCCAACCCTACTTTGAGAAACTGCGGAGTTAACAGTGAGAAAAACGAATGTGCACCATTGCGTTTTGGCGTGCGTTTGCATGATTTTCATCTTTTGGCACGCAAAAAATACAAAATTTTACACCCCAATGATGGAATTTTTTAAATATATGGGAGGAGGGATGATCATAAAAGGGAATTTTTCTGCCTGCCTTCCTAAATTTAAAAATATCAATATCATGCCTCGGCTACGAACTGGAACCCAAATTATATTATTTCGGAGTCATGATATCTTTTAATTCAGCTGATCTTCCCGATATATGTCAAATTCATCTGCTCTTTTCTTTAATCACCCGATATCCTCAAATGCCCTTAATCTTTTAAAGTCCTCTAATATGTTCCTTAACTGTTTTTTCTCTTCAAACTTATGTTGTACCCCGATCCCGTTGACAAACGATTTTTTCAATCTTTCCCGATACAACCCCCTCCCGAAAAACCGACCCCGGCCCTAAAATGTTTCGAGGTATGCACCCCATAAAATGATATTTTCTGGCAATAGCTTCCTTTTTGTCTCAGTAGGAAAGGTATCGAGTGATCTTAAGAGTGATATCAGTAGAAGGATATCACGGATATCAATGGATTTGAAGATAACGGAGGACTAATTGGATTTGAAGGAATAGGCCGATTTAATGGATATCGAGACAAAGAACCCTGCAACCTACTTAAACCCCACTCCGATTTTCCCATTTCTCAAGAATTTTTGATACAAAGGAGAATTTCTTACACTTGGTCTTAAGAAATTTCAATAAATTTTACTTTCGGCGTTAAGGATGAATTTTGATCGTAAAAGCAACATCGTAAAAGCACAAAAAAGCGCCACATGAAAATTTTGCCGCACAGCCTTGCCGAGGAACAGAACTTCCAAATGATGCATGTTTGAAGTTTGTTGACATTGAAGTTTGTTGACTTTGAAGATTTGAAATTTGGTGCCATCTGTTGCAGCAGCCTGATGTTTATTGTGCTAAATGAAAAAATAATAAAAACTGCTATTGTCTAAAAAACCGCAAGTTTTGCCGCAAAGTTTACACCCCCCCCCCCAATTAGAAATCTCTTTAAAGTAAAAAAACCCTCCACATCCAAATCAACCATGAAGCATGAGGTCAACGCTCAACGTCCACAAAACACCATTTTGGTTTCTTTCCAAGTTTGCTATATGACGGAATTGGTTCTGCCATCTTTCAAGTACGATCTAAAAATTAGGAAATGATTTTATGTAATTTTTCTGAGATTTTCTGATTTCTAAATCTTTCTGAGAACAATAAAACTAATTAATTTTCCCTGCACATACAATTAGTACCTATTTTTAGTTTAATTAGATATCCAAATATAGACCCTTTTGATTAGATTGTTATGAGGACAAGAGAAACTAAAAAGGAAATAAAAATAGCTCCCCCCTTTCCTTCCTAAAAGTTTTCAAAAAATTAGGATTTCTTTTGTACCAGTCCACTAGTTGAAAGTTTACACGAAAAATCGAATATAAAAAATTTACTGCATTTGGTTAAGTGGGATAACTTAAAAAAAGGGGAAGGTTCGAACCCGTTAAGGGTAAAATATTTTTCTTGGAAAATCGATCTTATCCCCACAAATATTTAATAACACGTGATCAAACGTCAGTCATTTACTAAAAACCAAAATCCTATCTCGACCATAAAAAAAGATAAACCTGAATAAACTCTGCAGCTTCTCTTCTTAAATTCAGTAGCTGAATCCATAGGCATTCTAGATGGAAGCTGAGAAAGCTCATCGTCCACAAAACACCATTTTGGTTTCTTTCCAAGTTTGCTAGATGATGAAACTGGTTCTGACATCTTTCATGTAAGATTTGGAATGATTTTATGTAATCAGAGACTTTTACTTAAAAATAAAAACAAACCATTCTTTTGATCTTTGGTATCCTTTGATCGTCGGTTCCTGGTTTAATGCTAAAATTAACGGAAAATCCCAGAGGGTAGGGAACAAAACTCCACGGCACTGACCTACGAGAAACTCACAGGCACTGACCATCGAGAAAACTCAACGGCACTGACCTACAAGATACTCACAGGCACTGACCGATGAGATATCTCACCGGCACTGACCTACGAGAAACTCACAGGCACTGACCATCGAGAAAACTCAACGGCACTGACCTACAAGATTCTCACAGGCGCTGACCGACGAGATACCTCACACAAAGAAATCACTCACCCAAAGAACCCCAAAGAGGGAACCCCAAAACCTGAAAACCGAACAAATATCTCGACCGAACAAACAGAAAAACCTGAATAAACTCTGCAGCTTCTCTTCTATATTCAAGTTCAGTAGCAGAATCCATAGACATTCCAGATGGAAGCCAAGAAAGCTCATCGTCCATAAAATACCATTTTGGTTTCTTTCCAAGTTTGTTAGATGATGGATGACTGGTTCTGACATCTTTCATGTAAGATCTATAAATGAGTGGATAAAACTATGTAATCAGAGTTATGTAGATATTAATAAAATACCTAACCCCTCTTAATTGATTTAATTGTTAGAAGGGATGACAACTGACTATTGTCAGTTCTCGGAAAATCTATGGAGATCCGGTTCGATAGATCGACCCGGGCATCGAATTTTGACACGGAAGACTCGGACGGACCGGCCAAAACTCGAACGGGTACTCTTCACTTATAGCGGGTTTTTAATGCGTGGATGGATATGGACGTATGAGGTGTCATTCGACTCAGCTCGACGAGCTGAGTCGAACTATGGGTGGGAGAAGTTTGTCCGGTACCTAGGTACCGAGTTACAGACTTCAGAAAATTCAAAAAGAGAAGGGGGGAGTAAGCTCATTTTGGGTTGAAAAATTCGAATATCCAAATAATAGCTCATTCGAAAGAGCTCATCGAGCTGAGTCGAATGACACCAAAATCAACGAAATTCGACTTGATTTGACAAAGTTATGAGCATTTGTTTAAGCTCCTTACCTATGCTCGACATGGAGTTTTTTGCTGACGGAGGCCCCAAGTACTTCCAGAGCAAGGGAGATAGGAATAGGTTTATGTTACTGACCCAGACCCAGCGACCGTTGACTCCCCGCGAGGCGCGTGTCGCAAAACCCCGCGCGAAGCGCGGGGTTTTGCACAAGCGCCTCGCCGACGCCCCATAGGTTTAGGTTTTTGTTTTTCTATCGTAACTCTGTCTAGACTTGTATAATTACGATGATTTTGGTGTCATTCGACTCAGCTCGTCGAGCTCTTTCGAATAAGCTATCATTTGCATATTTATTATGCCGCTTACGATTTTTGACCATTTTGAGCCCCGATATCTCGGTCCCTAGGTACCGGACAAACTTCTCCCACCCCTAGTTCGACTCAGCTCGTCGAGCTGAGTCGAATGACACCTCATACGTCCACATCCGTCCACGCATTAAAAACCCGCTATAAGTGAAAATTTTCCTCGAACGGACCGGTTCGATAAAAATGAAGCTCGATAAAACGACTCGAACGTTGGCCCGGTTCGACAGCGGTAACCCTAGTTAAAAGGGATGGCAACTGAACGGAAAAGGAACCCTTAAAGTTCAAAATTCCCCCAAAAAATTTTCAAAAAAAACCTTCAATAAATCCATAATTTACATAATCGTTAATATCAGCTCCAGGCTTTTTCCAATGCTTGGCTTTCTCCAGGCTTCTTCCATTGAAGCCAAATCCAAATCATATTTTGCGTTCCATCTTTTAAAATCAAAAAATTGTTCCTTTATTTGAAAAAAAAATTAAAAAAATTTTCAAAATTTTTAATAAATATTGACCGTCATTAAAAACGGAAAGTACACAACATTTTTAAAAAATTACACAAAAAAATTTATTTTTATTTAAAATTGAAAGTATATAAAATAAACAAAAGAAAAATTAAACTACGCGAAGACGAGTGTGTCTAACATTGTAAAAAAAATAAAATAATAAATGTACATAACGCAACCCTAATTTTTGAAGAAATTTTAAAAGGTTGCTAAAATTTGAGGTGTTTATATGAGAACATTTTTTGATCGATTTTTGAGAGAAAAATACATGAACATAAATTTTGAGAGAGTTTTAGAATCATACAAGTAGGTAGAGAGAAGTGGCATTTTTTTTTAATTGAAAAAAAATTTTTGATGACCTGGAAAAAAATTTTTTCTGAATCTTGAAGAAATCTTCAGATAAGTATTTTTGGAGACTAGTCTCGAAAAAAATCTCATTTTTTGTTTAGGACTGCTAACAGAAAAATATTTCTAAAATTTTAGGGTACTTATTCTCTTCCCTCCCACCCCCACCCCTCCCCCCTCAAGTCCGCGGCTCATAACGCTCAAGACGATAAAAAGGGAGATTTTTAAAATTGTTCAGGTAATAACTGACCATTTTCTACGTTAAGGAAAAACCTAGGCAAAGGTGAGGGGGAATGAGTGCCGGCTTTACTAACCATCCAAGACCCGTGGAAATAACTTGGACTTCAACCGCTAAAGAAACTTTTTTTTATTCAAGTCCAAAAGACTTCCCAACAAAGAAAAATTTTTTTTTCAAGTCACCAATTTTTACATAAATAAAATTCAATTTTTAACACAAAAAAGAAAATACTCCCTAGGCCTATCAAAAATATAAGCCAAAAAATTTGGGGTTTTTGTTAAGTGCGTGGTTGTTTTTTTTGTGCTCTGGCTTTTATAATGGCAGTGATTTTAAAGAAAAAGGTTTCCCTTTTAAAAGGCTTGTGTTTTTTAAGCAAGACCTTTTTTAAATTTTGTTTTGGCCGCAAAAATTTTTTAAATTTTTTTCTCCCCCTTATTTTTAAATTATTAAAAAAACTATTTTATATTTATTGTATATTGAAAGCAAGTCCATCCCTGAACAATTTCTTCACAAAACTTGTGCCTGAAGAGATATTTTCTGTTGAACGGAGACCTAGAAAATAAATTATATTTTTAAAAAGACTAAAATATTAACCTAAAAAATTTTTCAGAAAAAAAATAATTTGGTCTATAATTAATGAAAATCTAGGACAATTCAAGAATATCAAAAATTATCTGAAAACCTTGGACTTAATTTCGACCAGAAACCCGACCTTTTCCCAACCCGTGGCATTCGTGCTTCATATAGAATCGAAGTATTAATTAGGGTTGCGCGAATTCGAGGACTCACCGAGGCCGAGGTACTCGCCCATTTTCCAATCACGGTCTCGGTTCGATCGGTCATTGGCTTCGGTTTTTTCGAAAAACCTCGACCTCGTGCAACCCTAATATTAATTTAAACAACTTAATTTCCTCCCATTTAAGAATCCCTTGATTTCTTGAAATATCATTTGACCCGACCAAATTAAATTTTTAAAACAGACCCGAATCTTCCTTAAGAATTTCTCACTTAAAATGTTCAACTAATAAAAATAAAAAAGAAAAAACCATGTTCCGAATCCAATCGCCACAAATAAGGGTCACAATTTGGAAATCGAATATCAAAAACGGAAGTAATCTCCAGTCGTGTTGGAATTTTTGGCAAATATTGCGGTTTATTCATAAGCTCACAAATTGTCAAAACTTTATCAGAAAGTTGTTCAGCCACATATTCTCGCATTCGAAAAAAATCTTCTGAAAAAATAAAAACTAATTACAAAACAAAATTTTAAAGCAAACCGTTATTTAATGTACGAACAAGATTTAGATGTAATTCCCAAACTAAAATTTAAAGAAAATTAAAAGAATTTTATGAAATTATTGGACTGCCCAAATTTGCGGACAGACATTTGCGGATTAGACAAAAATTACAAAAGAAAAATTCACCTATTCCCCCATACAATCAGGTTAAACAGTCAACCAAATTCTCAAGAACTAGTTTTTTGGAATTTTACTGGGGGAGGGAAGGAAGGGGAATGAACCAACAAATACGGGATCTAGTGATTAATCAAAAGGGTTTCTTGGAGATCTCCCGACTTCCACCCCAAAGTAGTTCTGTGGAGTGTGATCTACTGACTGCCATCCCAGGAATTGGCCTGTGGGCCCAGTCGAAAAAGACAGCGATTCGGGTAACCCGACGACACAGCTCTTCTATTCCAGACTCTTTTACAAAATTATAAAAACAAAAAAAGAAAACCTTCCCACGGAGCAGTATCTTCTGGAATTGGCCACTGTCGTTTCCGACGCTGGTAAAATTCAAGTTTAATTTGTGTTGATATCAGATCCTCCCAGCAATCTTTTAAAAAAATTTTTTTGACTAAACTCTAAAAAATAAAAAAAAACCAATTCCATAAATTCTCCCTCCTTCACGAGCAGACGAAGGCGATATTAAATGATTTCCACTTCCACTTAAAAAATACCCGTCCTTCAATGATTTGGTTACCGCCTCGACAAATAAGTCCACCTTACAGGGGAAAATTAATTTAATTAAAAAAATACCAAAAAAACCTTTTCATTAAAGTCATCGATAAATTCGGGACTGTTGACTCGTATCTGAAAAAAATATTTTAAATTTTAGCCTTTATAAAATCTCCCTGAAGTGGTGGAAAGAGAAGAACATCACTTTAATATGGGAGGTGCTTCCCTTGCAGATATTTTTAAAAATTAAAAACTGTCCAAAAAATGTCTGCAAAAAATTATAAAAGTTAAAACTGGAAACCTAGAATGTTCAATTTAAAAAGGGAAATTAGAAACAAAGAAAAATAAAAAGTTTGACCACTCTGGATTCGAACCTACCCCAATGACCGGTGTAGTCAGGAAGTTTACCACTACACCACCACTCTCCTTTGCTAATTTTCATAAAAAAAGCTCTATATAATTAAATGAATAAGCAGGGGTGAAAATAAGGACTTCGAAGTAGTCTCCAGACCTCTATAACTTTAAAATTTCAGGGACCAAACCCCAAAATATTTAATAACGTTGTTAACCTTTTACACACCCCCATAATAAAAAAGAAAATCAAAATTTACATAAGTGAGATCGACATGATTGCACGGCACTTCTTCATGCCCAAGAGAGCCAAGGCTATAATCGCTGTCAGAAGAAAATTTAAACTAAAAAAGACGAAAAAATTGAAAGAAAATTAAACAAAAAAGAAAAACCTTTCCAAGTACCCGATGTATCATAATTGAATGAAATGCCACTGAAACGGCATCCTTTATTTGCCGATATTCTGCGGTCAATTGGAGTTGATTTGTTCTAGCATTCATAAATTGACCTTTAAAATAAGGGGAAATTAGAGAAGAAAAAAATTTATACGAAAAAAAACACGCAAAAACGCGGATATGGTACCAAGGCGCAAAACCTCTCCCCTTTCGAAAAAAAATTTTTTTAATTTTTTCCCGTGAATGGTACCATTCTCGACAAGCTTTAAAGAGAAGATATCTGCGCCTTGCGCCTTAGTCCCATTAAAAAAAAATAAACAAATATTTACTATCAATAACAAGATTAAAAAGAAAGTAAAAAATAAACAATTATAAAATCAATAGGCTGTTAGAGTCTCAAGATTATTCTTTTTTGGGTCAAGTTTAATTAAACAAAGGGCAGTTTGGAAAACCCAGAAGATCACCCTTATAAAAATCAACAGGGAAAGTTAGAATTAGAGGTCGACGAAATCGTGTTTGCGGGATTTTTTTAAAATGTTTGCGGGACGGGATCCCGCGGGAATAATCACTGCAAAACCCCACAAATCGAAAAAAGTGCGGGATTGAGGGACGGGATTCCGCAAAATCCCGCGAGGGATCCCGTCCTGCGCCAACCTCTAGTTAAAATTTTGTAAAATTAATTAAAAGGGGGCAGTTTGAGTCTCACATTGAAAATAAATTTGTTTAAAAAATTTTAGGGGACAACCCAAAAGACTTGAGACCACCCAAACTTGCTTATATGCTTATACACTTGCTTAACTTGCTTAAAACTTGCTTACAAGGGAACATTCCGAACTGTCAGTAAAAATTTCTAAATAAAAATTATACCATCGTGTAGAGCGTGGTCGAAAACGTATTATGGTTACTTTCTTTTTTGGCTCCGACCCCCATTTCGAAAAGTTATAGGGGTTCAAAGTTTCCTACTTTTGGAACGGTTGAGTCTCCCTCACTACTCTTATTAAAGAAAATTTTTCTCCTCCATAAGAGAAAAATAAGACTCCCATCCTTCTTTTTTCTTTTCCTTTTCTTTTCCAACATTAGTTAGAGAAAGAGAAAAGGGGGAGAGAAAAGAAAAGGAAAAGAAGCGTCTCTGCCTTGCAGCTAATGTCAATTAAAAAGGAAAGAGGAGAGGGCAGAGATGCCTCTTTTCCTTTTCTTTTCTCTCCTCTTTTTCTCTTTCTTTAGCCAGCACAGGAAAAGAAGAGGGAAAAAATAAAAGAGAAAAGGAGTCTCATTTTTCCCTTTAGGAAGAGAAATAATAAGAAAAGTGAGGGAGACTCAACCGTTCCAAAAGTAGGAAACTTTGAACCCCTATAACTTTTCGAAATGGGGGTCGGAGCCAAAAAAGAAAGTAACCATAATACGTTTTCGACCACGCTCTACACGATGGTATAATTTTTATTTAGAAATTTTTACTGACAGTTCGGAATGTTCCCTTGTTAACAGGGAGACTAACAAAAAAAAGGTTGCGAGGTGTCCGACCTAAAAACGGCCGAGACCGGGCTCATTCGGTAGAGAAGTTGCCCTTTCTAGCAAGGATTTTGTGCCGTTTTTGCCCCTTTTTTGATCTGGCCGAGATAGACCATCCAAAGTCCCAAAAAGTAAACTTTAGAAGACTCCCCAGAAGATCACCCTTATAAAAATCAACGGGGATTTTTCCTGTAATTTTACTTCCTTTTAAAAATTGTACTAAAAAATATCAAAAAATGATCATTATAAAATTAAAAAATAATTTTTTAAAAGGCCAAAGTCTTCACAATAATTATTGATAGTAAAAGAAAATTTCGATTGAATAAAAAAAAATAAAAGAGAAAAGAAAAGAATAGTTAGACGCAAGACCGGTCTCTCTCTATTATTTTCTTACCTTTTCTCTTCCGGTTGCTACACGTTTTGCCAATATCATATTTTGCCAATAAGGGTAAAAAGTAACGTTTTGCCAATAAGCCTGTTGACAAAATGAGAGATTTTAGCTTTATTGGCAAAATGTGGAATTGGCAAAATGTGGCGACCCGTCTTTTCTTTTTTCCCCTTTTTTTTCATCATCCTCTTGTCTCCTGACTGCTATTATATGGAACTCCCCCCTTCCCTTCTCTTCCAAAAAAATTTTTCACGTTTTTAACATGTGAATCATATGATTTTTAACTAATTTGGACCAAAAAAGGGATTTTTTATATAAATAGCCATAAAGCTTGGGAGAGTAAAAGAGACAAAGAACACAATTTGCGTGTGACATAAAAGTTTTCTGCCAACAAAATTTTTGTAGTCGAACAAAACACAAAAATTTGCAAAAAAATGTCATGAGTGCCTTTCAATTCGGTCAAAAATTGGTTGGTTCATTCAATTTTTCAGGTCTTGGAGGACAAGAAAATAAAAATAGAACTTTTCCTGGAGGATAACCTAATAGATCAACTTGCTTGGAATCAGCTTAAAGTGACTAATCTTCAGACTCTAATGGGAGATTAGGGATGTCAGGGTAGAGAAAAAAGTAGGAAAGGATTTCGAATTGAAAATTGTCCGAGTTCCAGTTTCAGTTTTTAAAATAAAAATTCGAAAAAAATTTTTCGTTTGGTGTAGTTGGATAGTGTTCGGTTTAAGAAGGTTCGAATCAAGGTTCGAACCTACTCGTGGAAAATAATTTTTAAATTATTTTAAAAAATTGTCCGAGTTCCAGTCTCGAATTTTTTAAAATAAAAAATCGGAAAAAAATTTTCGTTTGGTGTAGTTGGATAGTGTTCGGTTTAAGAGGTCCAAGGTTCGAATCCTACTCGTGGAAAATAATTTTTAAATTATTTGGAAAAATGTCCGAGTTCGGACTTCGTGTAAATCGGATTCGCCGTGGCACCTTTGGAGATATTAAAGAAGGGTATTAGAGTCTGGATACTTGTAGACTAAATGGCGTTGGTTGATCTAAAGGCTTTTAACACCAAAACACACCTTTAGAGATCTTAGAAAATCCAAAAAACTGAAAAAAACTGAACTAAAAATAAAAATGAAAAAATTCTACCAAAAAACTTTTTATTTAAAAACCCCTTACCCCACCCAGTCTCTTCACTTTTCAAATTTTCCCTTCCTTGTTTTGCCCAAAAGTCAATAGATTATTTGTATAACGTAAACACGTCTGGGACTGCACTTTTACTGAAGAAATAAAATACTTTTTTAAATGTACACAAACAAACGCAACTTCAAAAATTTTTCTAAATGGAGAGCACATAAAACAATTTTTGCCTACAAAAATTTCCCATTGTAAAATACAAGACACCCCAAAAGATCAACTAAAAACTTTTTTGAAAATAGACACTTGAGTCAAACAAAAGCTATTAGAGTCTGAATAATTCATAGAGACAAAAGAAACCTCTAGGGTGTTGCTCTTTAGCAGAGGTGGGTCGGAACAGTCAGAGGTGTCAGAAATAGGAAGAGACGGAAATCGGAACTGGATAAAAAGTCGAAACTTGGAAATTGGAAATCAAACTTTTTTTTCGGAAATCGGAAGGAAAAAACGCCGGAAAGTCGGAAATCCGACCCACTTCTGCTCTTTAGGAAAGGAAAAATCAAAATTTTCTCCTAGATTTCTTCAGACTCTAACGTACCCTTTTGACTAATTTTGTTCCCTTTATTTTTATCAGAATTGCCACTAGAGTCTGAATTATGTAATGTTAATTTTCCTCATTTTCTTAAGGATTTGGAAATTTAAAAACGAGAAACATCACATAAATTTTGTATGCTAATCTTAAAAACACTCACATTTAAAGTAACTTTTTGATAATTTATTTAGATAAGAAAAAGATTTTTTTAATTGTCTCTTTTTTATGCACTTTTTCTGCACTTGTGTTTGTCAATTAATTTTATCAATAACTAAAGTGAAATGTGTCCTGTTTGGAACGAAAAAGTGTGCAAAATCAAAGACAGCCAAAATAAAATATCAACGACCATTAGAGTCTAGCAATTGAAATTGAATTTTTATAACAAGCCTCACCCTAAAGATCACCGTTAAAAATGGTGTTGACCTTTAAGAAGGTGATCTTCTGCCCCTCAAAATCAATTTTCTCCTTTATTTTTGCAGCCGATTTTTTGATTGATTTTATTGTGGAGAATTAAATTGTGAAAGATTAAACCAAAAAATGTCTTCAATACAAAAGCCTCTATTAAAATTATATTATGATATTGGATCTCCTTATTCTTGGGTTGCTTTTGAGGTTTTTAAAAAGAAATTTTTTTTCAAATGTTCCTCTTCAGAGTTTACTTCGCTATGAAAAAATATTGAATATTCAACTTGAGTTATTGCCAGTCTCGATTGGGCATATTTTCAAAGCTACTAGTAGGTTTTTAATAAAAAATTTTTAAAAAAATTCGGTGGTGTAGTTGGATAGTGTTCGGTTTAGGAGGTCCAAGGTTCGAATCCACTCGTGGAAAATAATTTTTAAATTATTTAAAAATTAATTTTTAAAGCCACAGTTGGGTTTTTAAATAGAAATTAAAAAATTTTTCGTTTGGTGTAGTTGGATAGTGTTCGGTTTTGTGCACTAAGGGGTCCAAGGTTCGAATCCTACTCGTGGAAAATAATTTTTAAATTATTAAAAAATTAATTTTTAGTCAAAAATTTAATTAAAAATTTATAGAAAATATTCCAAATGCTATGCAAATGCCTCAAAAAGCTAATTACTTCCAAAAAGATTTAATGTTGGTTGGAGCTTATTGGGGAATTCCTCTAAAACCCTCCAAAGTTTTTTTTTAATTTTTAATTATATAAACCTTTTTTTCATAATTTTTCGGACTTCAAAGAGGAATTTATGAATAATTCGACATTAAATCCGCCACGATTTTTAACAGCCGTTAAATTAAATGCTCCAGAATATTTAATAGATGCATCGCGCGAATATTGGCTGAAGGCGTGGAGTCGGCACGAGCCTTTTTATGGAATTGACACGATTATAGAGGTTAAATATAGATTATTAAGTTTTTGACAAACCCGTAACCAGGATTTTTTCAGGAGGGGGGGCCAAGGGGGGAACTTAAGATCAGGGATGTTACGGGTTGAGAAAAAGCTGGGACAGTTAGGGGGGGGGATTAAGAGAGAAGCCTGGTTTCGCGTCGTGAGAAAGTCCGGTTTTCATTTATCGAGTTCGAATGACCCGTGACACCAAAAATTTTTTTTCAGATTTGTAAAAAGTTAAACATCCCTGAAGAAAAAAATTTATTAGAAGCAACTCAATCAACAGATGCAAGTAATTTGCTCAAGGAGATAACAAACGAAGTGCTTAAATTAGGGGCTTTTGGACTACCATGGATAACACTCAAAAAGAATATATCTGGAAATGAAGAGGTTTTAATTTTTAAATTTTTAGTAAGGTTGTCTTGGTCTTTCCTGACATTTTCAAGTTGTTAGCGAACTGATTAGACATACACGAGCCGGACGAACTGGTCACCTCGGATAGTTTTAGGCTTAGGGTTGGGGGCCCGATCCGAAAGATCTAGTCGGTCATTAAATTTTGGCCCGAAAAAGACTCGTTTGGGCCGGCCCAAAAAATAACTCGAACGTCGGCCCGGCTCGAAAACCTCAACCCTAGCGTTGGCTATTAGAAAGAAATTAACAATAAGAAGAGTACCCCCGACGAGTCCAAGTTAGGTACCCAATTAAACGGTGTGAGACTACATGAGATGGACCTCGATCACCCTAAAGTTAGGCGGGTTATTAGAAAATTTTTTTAAAAATTTTCTTTTTCTAGATTTTCTCATTTTGGGGCAGTGATCGACTTCCTATTATTTGTAATTTATTAGGAAAGGAATTTTATGGACCTCTAAAAGAAGATTTAAATAAAAATATAATTTGAATTTTTAAAAAATATTATAAGGGCATTTTTAATACAATAAAATTACAAAAATAATAAAAAAATATTTTGAGTTATATTTTGTAAAATATATATTTTTTGGCCCGTAAAACAAAAAATAAAAAGTCCTTTTTACCTAAAGAAAATAAGGCTAAAAATTAAATTTAAAAAATTTTTTAAAGTAAAATTGCGGACTTATTTCGCGGATTATTATAGAAAAATGGACTTTTTTGCGGATTTTTACAGAAAATTGCGGACGTTTTTTTGCAGACTCCCTCCCTTCCCAAAATTAATTTAAAGCCTTATTCTCTTAAAAATAATTAAAGCTTTCTAAAGCTAAAAAACTAATTTAAAAAAATAAAAGCAGTTTTTTAAATCTATGGCTACAAGTCTGAGAGTGAGAAAGTCAAAAATGACCACCATCATCTTCGTGGTCTTCTAATAAATATTTTTCATTAAATTGGATTACAACAACCTTTTTAATATTAAAAAGTTTTTTTTTGAAAATTTTCAAAAAAAAATTTTTTTTTACCGTTATGTCATCCCTGTAGTGTCTAGCCATTCCAGGGGGTAACATTAACATTTCCTTTTTTTGGAGAATTTTTAAAAAAATTTTGAAATTCAAATAAACCTCTAATCTCGCATATTGTAATTCTACATCCCCAGAAACACCACCCAATGCATTTCTAATTAAATGAGTAGCACAATTTTCGTCTAAAGGTTTTTTGTTGTCAGCAGACTGTCTTTTTTCCAAATTGTTAAGAATCTGGAAAAGAAAAATTGTTTATTTTGAAGAAAAATTTTTAAAATTAAAGACAGTTAAACCTCAAATAAAATACATCCTTGGGACTTAAAAAATGTATTTAGAGAGTTGTCACGGGTTAAGAAAAATACTGGACGGGTTTCCAAAATTTTTTCGGATCGAGTTTTGGGTCGAAAAAAGTTTGGGTCTCGGAACAAACCGTGTCATCACGGGTATAGGTTCGGGGATGGGACGGGTTACCCGAAACCCGACCCGAGACCTGGACCGACCCGAAAAAAAAATTTGAAAACCCGAAACCCGACTTTCCGACTCGTCCCATCCCTAATAAGTATCGCTTAGGCTATTCTTCCACCCAATGGGTACCAAAGCCTAAAAAAGTATTTTTATTAAATTGAGGTTCACTCTATTATTGGATGTCTCTTATAGTAAAGGTCCCACCAAGATTAAAAAAAATTTTTAATTTTAAAATTAAACTCTATATTTACATCTCCAAGTGGTTGTTTATGCTCTGGTCTAAATACATTAAGTGTTGAATGTCCTGTCATATGATCTTCTACTAATCTAACAACTGCATCTGAATCTAAGAATTCCCACAGACCTCAAAAAAATTTTTTCTAGCGTAAAAATTAATCTCTTTGCTTTACCATCTGTTGCTAGCACCTAAAAAATAAATTAAAATTTTTATCATAAAAAATTTTTTTACCAAAAAACGGTCATTGGATGTTAATTGATGATAAAACACTTCTGGGCTAAAAATTTAAAAAAATTAGAAAATTTAAAAAAAATTTAAAAAATTAACAGGCAAGTCAAATATGGAGGTGTTAACAAATGTTGAGGTGCAGGCATTCCAAGGGGGTCAAGTACAACTTCTAAAAAATTTTTAAACAAAAAATTATTTTTTAAAAATACTTTGTAATTCTTTTGGCCATTTAAATCGAACATCGCCAAATGCTCTAAGAGGATAAAGTTCTCCAAGTAAACGATTGGCTTTAAGTATTGTTCGATTTTCTGAAGGGGGATGTGCAGAACGAATCCTAAAAAAGAGAAACTATGAGTTTTACAAATTTAAAGATAAGTGTGCCGAGTAGCCCTTAGATGACAGATTACTCTTTAGACGGATTATCTCCGTTAAGGACTACTCCCCTTACGATGAATTACCCCTCTTATAACGGATTACCTATCTTTGCTTCCTTTAATGGACTTGAAAAAGGATCCAATTAAATTAGAGTGGAGCCCCAACAACTTATTGTTAAAGGGAGAAGAGAGAATCTAGACAATCCTTTTCCCAGACAAGAGAAGAATTGTCTAGATTCACAAAGTTATTAAAAGTTAAGGAAGACTTCCAGGTTATCCAAAAATTGAAAAATAACCTAGCAATCTCATCCAAATTTTCAACAGTATGTGGCCTTGTCAATTGTCGTGCAATTACATCATTTGCCAAATGAACACCAAGAACAGCTGCAGAATCTCCACAGGATGCGACATGTCTTTAAATTAAGAAAAAATTCTGCCGGATTTAAATTTAAAATATACAAATTATTTCTCCGAATATGTGACACAAGAGCACCTAAAATTTATAAAATATTGAAAAAGAAAAATATAAACATGATCCGCTAACAGCCGCATTTACAGACATTCTAAATTTTAATAATAAATATTTTTAAAAAAAATTTTTTATAAAAAATTCGAAGAAACCTGCAAACCAATCCATTTTGGTCAGGCATTGCACTTTTTGCCAAGTCCTCATCCAAAACTGAAAAGGAAGTTTGGAGAGTATCTCGAACTGTCGTAAGTGGACAATTGCTTTTCTTTTTAATCCTAAAAAATTTTTAAAAATTTCCTCCAACCCCAAAACAATAAAAAAACCTTTTAAAATATTCTCTTATATTTAGCTGATGTACTTGGTCAATATCAGCAGGGAGGGACGGAGTAGCGCTTCCAAAAAGCCATTGCAATTGTTCTCCTATTGGCATGTGAACAACACTAAAAAACGTTTTTAAAATCAGTTTTTCCTCCTAACCAACCGATGTTTATCAAGAACCGAACAGCAAATATAGTCATAAAGCCGTGTACAAACATGCCTAGCACAGGTCTAAATAAAAATTAGATAAATAAAAAAATTGAAAATTCAAACCGCTCCTCCATGTCCATCAAAAACTCCAAGAAGAAAGGCATTCGAGTTTAAGCATTTTGAAGCGGAGTAGAAATCCTGAAAATTGAAGCTGATTTAATGACTAACAAGGGAACATTCCGAACTGTCAGTAAAAATTTCTAAATAAAAATTATACCATCGTGTAGAGCGTGGTCGAAAACGTATTATGGTTACTTTCTTTTTTGGCTTCGACCCCCATTTCGAAAAGTTATAGGGGTTCAAAGTTTCCTACTTTTAGAACGATTGAGTCGCCCTCACTTTTCTTATTATTTCTCTTCCTAAAGGGAAAAATGAGACTCCTTTTCTTTTTTATTTCTTTCCTCTTCTTTTCCTGTGCTGGTTAAAGAAAGAGAAAAAGAGGAGAGAAAAGGTAGGAAAAGAGGCATCTCTGCCCTCTCCTCTTTCCTTTTAATTGACATTAAATGCAAGGCAGAGACGCCTCTTTTCCTTTTCTTTTCTCTCCCCCTTTTCTCTTTCTCTAACTAATGTTGGAAAAGAAAAGGAAATGAAAAAAGGAGGATGGGAGTCTTATTTTTCTCTTATGGAGGAGAAAAATTTTCTTTAATAAAAGACTCAACCGTTCCAAAAGTAGGAAACTTTGAACCCCTATAACTTTTCGAAATGGGGGTCGGAGCCAAAAAAGAAAGTTACCATAGTACGTTTTCGACCACGCTCTACACGATGGTATAATTTTTATTTAGAAATTTTTACTGACAGTTCGGAATGTTCCCTTGTAAGAATAAAACAAACCTCTATTGGCTTGTTCGCGGAAACCTGGCCGACATCCACTCGAGCTTTAAATATAAAATCTCAAGAAAAATGAGTCTAAAATATAAATCAGAATTGGAAACAAAAATTGACATTAAAAACATAAGGTAAACTTTGCGGACTAAAAAAGAAAGTCCGCAAATCCCCTCGAAAATATGTATAGGAAGAAAACTTCCAATTTCTTGATAGTAACATGCAGGAATTAAAAACCCCCACATAAACTCAACTCCCCGCTCCCCCAACTAACGATAATAACAAAAAAACCTATTTACCAATCGCCTGTTGTTCATCTCCAGAAAATATAATTGTCCTTTCATTTGCACGAAGAATTTGATCGACAGCTGCCTTTGCAGTTGCCAAATTTCTTCTACTACAATGCACAACTCTAGGATGAAGAAAGTTTGTAGTGGCAACACTTTTTTGCATAAAATTCTGTAAAAAACTAAAAGCATTTAAAAAATAAAATTAAATATTTAAAGAAATTTTAACCTCAAAAAATTTTTTCAAAAATTTTTTTTAACATTTTATTTAAAAATAACACACTGGATAACACACAAAACGATTAAATATAATTTTTAAAATAATTTTTTTATGCTTATTTAGATTGGAATTTTTGTTCCTCTTCTAATAGTTCCCCATCCAATTAAACGCCAATGTTTATCAATACGTCTACTCAAAGCAATATTTTGATTAATTTCAGTACATATTGGATCAGTTAAAGATATTTTTGCTGCTTCTCCTTAAAGAATAGAGTAGAAAATGAAAATATCGATTTTTTAGAGCCAAAATACCAGCCTCCAAAATCCGTTGAACACCAAACTAGGGAAAAGCGTCGTGTTACCAGATAAATAACAAATTGTTCTCAACATCCCCTGTTCAAGGGCGTAGCCAGAGGGGGAGCTTTTTGGGGGCACACCCAATTTTAGCACCCACTGAAATCGACCCCCCTGGCTACGCCCTTGCCCCTGTTAATGGAACAAGTTCCCTAGAAGTTGTTCGGCGACTTTTGGAGGTTTGGTATTTCAGCGTTTTGGTATTACGACGCGTTGCGAATTTAAATAACCGCAAAATATTGCGGACATAATCATCGAAACCCCCCAAAATTTTATTAAAAAAAACTCCAAACCTTTTACAGCAGTTACACGTCCACCCGTAGAAAGAGACCCAATGTTCACCATAAGTACTTCACCTTTAGACAATTTTGCTACCTTTGCAGCTTTTTTGCCTACTTCAGTACGAACACCAAGTAAACGACGCAATAAATAATAGGCAACCTGATTTTTTAAATTTTTAGACTATTGTTTTATAATGAACAAAAGGTCAACTCTAGTGATCAAATGAGTCAACTCCAAAAATTCAGGCGGATAAAAAGTGACAATATCAACAATATATTTGCCTGCTCCCCTTCGCCTTATCTGACAGTTGCACAAAAGAATTACTGTCTTCACCCCTTAATCCGAAAAATCCATTTTAATCAGCCCAAACCCAAAGATATTTCCCTTACTCTCAAAAATGCACCCTAATCACTCTGGGAGCTGACCTTCTGATGTGAGTGAGTTGATCCTGTCTTATACATAATAAACAAAATAAACCTCAATATCCGTATAAATATCAGGCAAAGTTCCCACAGCCCCCAATACATGGCCAACCAATCTATCACCACGACAAAGTGTCGGATCAATTTGTGTTCCAACACCAATTAAACCACCAGGAACTGCATATTGAAGTAAATTTTGTTCAGCAAATAAAGAAACAATTTTTGAATAAATTGGACGGCATTGAACTTTTCCATCAGATAATTTACTAACAATTCCTGGACGAACTTCAATTTCTTGGCCAATACGAAGAATACCTTTAAGAAGAAAATTTTGTTAATATTCTAGTAATGAGAGAATCTCTGCTAATTCAAAAATAAATTTTGTTCAGAGAAAAACCCAACAATGGCCCTTACCCAATTCCTCGAAAATTCTGAAAGTTGAATAAATTGAATTTTTCTGATATTTATACGGATATTGAGGTTTATTTTTTTAAAAATTTCAGAAAGACGATTGCAACTTTCAGAAATTTTCGAGGAATAGGGTAGTGAACGGTCCCAGACCCAGTGGAAATAGGTCCCCAGTGTGCTTAGGTCCTCAACACGAAAAACTGTAACGGAACCAAACCCCAACGTTGAAACAAAAAGAAAAATCCAAATTCTTTTTGATTGGACTCATAAACTGTACTAGAACCAAAAAGAGTAAGGATTCCTTCCCTTCTACCTAAGACTTCAAAAAAATTAAAAAAATTTTTCTAACCTTTAAGAATTGAACCACCAGCAACACCTCCCTTAAGTTGCTCAACTTCAGCACCCGGTTTATTTACATCAAAAGAGCGTACAACAATAAGTCTAGCTTCTGAAGTAAAATCACGAGGAGGAATTGGAACTTTTTTACAAAGATACTCACAAAGAACCTGTAAAAATATTTTTAAAAAATTATTAAAAGCTTTAATTTCCCCATTAAAATTTGAAAAAAAAAATTTACAAAAATTCTTCGAAAATACAAAGGGAAAAATTCAAATAAATTTTAAAAAGCAAGTAGAGTAGAAAAAAGGCCACGTAAAAATAAATTCTGCTTATAAGAAAAATTGTTCTCAACAGTATTTAGAAGTTCGTAACATTCATACTTGTATATTGGAATAATTGGAGCTTGTTCAACACATGAGGTACCGAGAAAAAAAGGCAGGACCTACTCTAGAAAAGTATGAATACGAACAAAATTTAAATCTCAAAAACAGTTCTCTGTGGCCCGACAGAAATTAAAAAAATTTCTAAAGAAACCCCCGTTCCAAAATTCAGAATTAAAAAAAAACCAACATCAATATTATATTTCAACTGTGCAGATATTGGAATAATTGGAGCCGATTCAGCACACGTTCCATTAACAAAAGATTTAATTTGTTCATGTTGATCATTTGCTTGATTTTCATTTATTAAATCAATTTTGTTTTGCAAAATTATCAAATTTTTTAATTGCATAATTTCAACAGCAGCCAAATGTTCACAGCTTTGGGGTTGTGGACAAGTTTCGTTTCCAGCGATTAAAAGAAGAGCAGCATCCTGTAAAAATTTTCTCTGATTTTGGTCCAAATTGAGGCCGTAGCCAACGCCGAAATGGCTACGGCCTCAACTATCAACGCCGAAATAACAAACCCCAAAAGCTTCAAAAATGCCAACTTGTGGAAAAGCCGTCGAAATGCAAAATAATCAGTTTGGTATTTTGAAAGGCTTTTGTGTGTGTAATTTTGACGGCTTTTGGGTTGGTAGTTCGAAGTTTTATTATTTCAGGTTTCTGATTAAGGCATCATACCAAAATGGGGGGGGGGCGATTCCTAGGAGATATATCCACTATTTAATTTTAAATATTAACGAACCATAACAGCAGCCCCGTTCAACATCGTAGCCATTAAAATATCGTGCCCCGGGCAATCCACAAAAGAAACATGACGAACACAAACATAATCCCCCGTACAATTTGGCCGTTCACATTTAAAACGATCAGGGGTGCTCGAACCTGCTGACCTGGATTTTTAAAGTTTCTAGTAAAATAATCATTTAAAGAAACCTGTAGCAATGTGGACGTGGACATTCAGGATTAGAACATCTATATATTTTTGCATTAGCATATCCAAGTTTAATTGTAATATTTCTCTCCAATTCATTTTTAAATTTAACCGTGTGAACACCAGAAATTGCTTTGACAAGAGTAGATTTGCCGTGAGCTACATGTCCAATTGTGCCTTTAGAAAATTAAAGTATAGATTTTTGATGTAATAACTAAAAACTAAAGCTTGCAAAATTCTAAGGGTTTTTTCAGAAAAAAATATGCAAGTTTTTCTACAAAGAAGGCTTGGTTTACTATGCTGATGTGAGACTTAATTAACGACAAAGACAACCCCAAAAAACAACAAGAGACATCGAAACACAGACGCCTTGTGAAAGGGAATCAAGCACACTAACTACGGGCTAACTTACCGAGACAAATGAAATCTTAATGGTTTTTAAATTTTTAGGTGGATTTCTTGAAGGAAATTTTTTTATTAATTTCCCAAAAATTCAGTAAAATTTTTTTCACTTATGCATGCCACTTCGTTTAGTATTATGAGACACGACTAAAGCAGACAGACTCGAAAAACAATCACCAGGCATCGAACCCAAGTCCCATCCTAAATGCAAACCAAACGTGCTAACCACTACACCACCGGGGAAGCAATAAAAACAAATAAAACTTTATTTACCTATATTAATTGTTGCCTGACGACTTATCACCTACAAAATCAAAATCTTTCAAAAATTCAAAACTTTTCAAACCTCCTCAGTTAAAGGTGTCAACTTTGAAGGATCCAAGTTGGAAAGGTCCTGTTTTAAAAGCCAATCTTGTTTTGGCACTTCCTCATCTTTTTCATTCACTTTAAAAATATTAAATTAAAACGCGTTAAATTAGCAACAACCTTCATTGGTTTTATCAAGCGTCATTACACAAAATTTACTGGAATTTAATTAAAGATAGCTAAATCTGAAAATAAAATTTTAAAAATCTTGAGAAATCAACGAAATCTTGACACAAATGAAATTAAAAAAAAATAAATGACAAAACGCCAATTAATTTTTAAGTGATAATAGGACAACTTGTCAGAAGACAGTTGGCCAACGAACAATTGGCCAGAGAACAACCAAACGACAGTTGGCCTAACGACATTTATCCAACGAAGAAGACAGTTGGCCAGAGGACATTTGGCCAACGAAGAAGACAGTTGGCCAGAGGACATTTGGCCAACGAAGAAGACAGTTGGCCAGAGGACATTTGGCCAACGAAGAAGACAGTTGGCCAGAGGACATTTGGCCAGCGAAGAAGACAGTTGGCCAGAGGACATTTGGTCACATAACAATTGGACGTTGATTTGTGGTTAAGTGGATTTTATGGATATTTAGCATTATGGTAAAGGGAACGGGTTCGGATCCTGTTCAGGTCAATAAATTTCTTTTCTCTCTTTCTTTTTTTTGGAAATCTTTTCACGTTATTTCTCAAAGTTTTTTTTGTTTCTTCTTTATTACCACCAACAAGCTTTATTTTCACATACCAACACAAATCCATTTATTTGCAGATTCCTTCCCATTCTCTCTCTGGGTGTCAGTTAACTTCTTTTATTTTTTTAAAGTTGGAATTTTTGTCTATAAAATAAAAGGCAACCAATAACCCCACAGAACACAATGAGACTGGAAGAAGGGAAAAAGTTAAAGAATGCGGGAACAAGGGAAAAGGATAGAAAGGAAGAAGAATAAGCCACAACCACCCCAACAAGTTCTTTAAAAGATTTGGCCCTTTGGTATATCTTCTAAGCTCTGACCCAGAATATCAACAGACTATGTCACCTCAATTTAAGATACCTTCAATTTAAAATCCTTTTAAATTTTAGTTGGCCAATTGATGGGAGGTGCTGACTAAGCAATACCCTCCACGTAATGTACACCTCATTATAAGAGACCCCAATATTAGATACCCTCTATTTAAGGTACAGCTTTTAAATTTTAGTTGGCCAATTGATGGGAGGTGCTGACTAAGCAATACCCTCTATGCAAGGTACACCTCATTATAAGAGACCCCAATATTAGATACCCTCTATTTAAGGTACAGCTTTTAAATTTTGGTTGGCCACTGGATGAGAGGTGCTGACTAAGCAATACCCTCTATGTAATGTACACCTCATTATAAGAGACCCCAATAATAGATACCCTCTCTTTAAGGACAGCTTTTTATAAGCGAGTTGGCCACTAGGGAGGACTGTCTAATTGATACCCTCTATGTAAGGTACATCTCATTATAAAAGCCCCCAATATTAGATACACCTCTATTTAAGGTACACTTTTTAAGAGTGAGTTGGCCACTATATTGGAAGACTGTCTAATTGATACCCTCTATGTAAGGCACATCTCATTATAAGAGACCCCAATATTAGATACACCTCTATTTAAGGTACATCTCATTATAAGATACGATTTTTTCAGCCCCATGGGTGCCTTATAAACGCATCCTATGGGGCACACCCTTGGGACCGAATTGTGCATAAGAAAAGGGGTGATATTCGGGAGAGACTGATATCGTTATCCGACTATTATCAATACCCTGATAACTTTTTGTTGATCAATTCGACGTCGATTTTCTTCTATTTTTACTTCCCTCATTTATCTCTTTCTTTTAAAGCTTTCACTTTTTTCTTGCTTTTTAGTGTTTTAAAGTTCTTTAGAAAGATAACTTTGTGAGGGTGGGAATTAGTAGAAAGAGGGAAAAAAGAGGGAAGAATAAACCGCCGCTGATCCCGGTCGCTTTTAAAATCATTGTGTGGGATATATAAGCTTTAATTGTGTGTAAGCTAGAAAATCTCTCATCGATTGCTTACTTGCATTTACACACAAAAATATTTTTATTTATTAGATCATTACACCAACCTCTTGATCAATTTTTGTAAAATGATTTTTGGGATCACTTGGATTCTTGTAAATTTTTAGACCAAAATTTAAAGATTTTCTGGGCTTTTTATCAAGGATGGAATCTCTTCCGCTTCCGTCTTCCATTTTTTAAATTTCTTCCGTTTTTTCCACCTTCCACTTTTTAAAATACGATAGGGCCCTTCCCTGCTTCATATCTCTTTTTTAATCAAAATTTATCGCAAAACCATCCATGTTTGATTCTTCTTCAGTTTTTTATTTTCTCCGTTTTCTTTCCCCTTCCGCTTTTTAAAATACGACAGAGTTTTAAATATCCCCTGATACGTAGTTATTTAATTTCCAATGCTATACAGGAGGTGGTGTAATGGATAACACATAGATTCAGTAAGATGATGGTTCGTTCCCAGCCGGCTAAATAATCCTTCGCGTTATCTGAATGAGAAATAGTAGCTGCTAGTCCAGTTTGGCTTTATTTTACCTATCCCATACTGAAAAGTTCTTTTCTCAAGCTATACCTCAAAAAGTAAAAGAACTCCTCGACTCTTATGCCCCCTCTCTTTTTATCAACAGGCTTCATCTATATCCCCCATTTTTCTTTCCCTGCCCGTTTTTATAGCCCAGTGAAAAGCTTGGGGCCACAAATGAATTATTTGTTGTCTGTCAGCAGTTCTCTCCTTCCATTCTCTTTTTCCCTCACATTCCCTTCCCCTCCCTTCCCTTTCCTTTTTTCCCTCACCAAAATTTTGCTTTTCCTGCTTTTCCCAGCCGTCCATGACGGATCGAGAGCGAAAGGAAACAAGAAAAAAACTCAAAAAAAAAAACGAAACCGTTGTTGGGGGCAATGTCATCAGCAGCACACTGTTCTAGCTTTACAAACAACAGTTAGGCTTATATTTAGGGGTTGGTGTGAATTCCTTTTTCTTTTATCTTTTTTCGAGAATACACATTTTGCCAAAACACATTTTGCCAAAAAGGCTAAAAGCCCCCATTTTGCCAACAAGCTTATTGACAAAACGCAAGTTTTTAGTCTTATTGGCAAAATGTGTTTTTGGCAAAATGTCGGACATCCTTCCTTTTTTTGTGTTTTTTCTTAGCTTCTTTTCCAAGCTTCTTATTTTTATTTTTTCCCTCGTCATCCGTATCAGTAAAGTCCTATAGTTTACGGCCAACAGAAAAAAAACATCCTTTTGTTAGAGTAATATATATCTATTGCTTATAAGCAACGACTTTGTAACTTGCTTGAGAAAAGTCTCGTTTTTTTGTGTGTGATGAATGCGTTAAAGCCGATGAGTAGGCCGTTCTGGCGCGAGCTTATAAGATAGCGAGTTGGTTATCAAAAATGATAAAATTTTGCAATAATAACTCTCGTACCTTTATCTATGTTCTCCAAAAATTTCAGAATTTTTGATCAAGAATTTCGAAAATTGTGGCCAAAAATGTTGTTGATTTTCTGAAAAATGCCTAATTTTTCGAGGTCCATCGACTATAACTTGAGAAATATTTGATGAAAAATTCTGAAATTTCTGGAGGAGGTAGTCAGGGATGTTAAAGAAATTTGAGAAAATTTTTATGAAGCTAGGTCTCGCCTAAGTGCCACTTTTTTGTTCTCGCGCCAAAACGGCCCGGCGCCAAAACAACCCCAACCCTTAAAGCCGATGAGTGAAAAAAATTTTTTTGGGGGAAGGATATGTACACACACATTTTGTATTAATTTACTAAAAACATATTATAACTTCTTCTCGCGCAGCTTTTCTCTTTTATATACTTTTTTTCCTCCTACGCTTTACTTTTTGCCTTTACTCTTCCAAAAAGTTTGTTAGACTTTTGTGTTTTTTTTGTTGGTTGTTTCTTCATTTTTCGCGCATTTTTCTTTTCTTTTCAATGGCTTAGTTTTCGATATTTTAGCCCTTTTTTAATTTTTAAAGAAAATTTTGAAATATTTTTTTTGCTTTAAAAGTAGGGTTAAGACCCCAACGATTTTTTTTTGGCAAAAATCCCCGACTCGGACCCCGAAGGCTCTACTCTACCCCTACAAACCCCGATCCTCGACACTTCCGACCACGAATTTTTGAGCTACCCGATTTTACCCGAAGATTTTTTTAAACAAAATCCCGACTTGAACCCGAAGGGGGCTCTACCCTAGCAAACTCCCGATCCTCTACCCTCTCGACCCAGAAAGGTCGGGATGCTACCCGGCTTTAAAGAGAATGGAGTTTCCAAAAAAAATTTTTTGACAAAAATTTTTTATTTGTTCCCCTACTCTTCCTTGAATTCCTTTTCCTTTCCTTAAAAAAAGCCTCTTAAACACGCAACTTAAATTAAAAGCAACCGACAGAAACACGCACATCCAAGTTTCTTTTTTCTGCTCCTTTTTCTGTATGTTATTTGTTAAAAAACTTTTTTTCTGGTTTTTTATTTTGATTTAAAAATTCCCTAACTCCTTTAACTCCTTTACTACCTCCCTCCAAATAAATCAGAATCCTTTAGTCAGAATTTTTAACCCTGAAGATCAACACTAAATTATTGCGTTGATCTATTGGGTTTTGAACTTGTTGTTTAACAATTATTCTGATTTAAAAATCCGTCCTTTTTTTCATGGGCTTTGATTTTTCTATCTCTAGGTCCTCTGAGGTGTTTGATTATTCTGAAAAATTTTTCTCTTTTTTTGGATTTTTTGAAGATCCTTTGATATTTTTACCTCATTTTCTTGTCATAATTTTTAACATAAAATTTTCAGTTTTTTGTTATTCTGTTGTTGTTGTAACAGTCTAATTGTGTGTTGCAACAGTAACAACTTTATTCATTATTAAACTCTGTATATAATTATATAGAGTTGGTTGGGGGCGGCCAGCAACCAGCACATGAACGGTGGCCGTTTTGATTTTGACGATGGCGGGACATACTGTGGTGGATGGGAGGAAGGGTAAAAAATTAAATTTCATGGGGAAAATAATTTTTTTTGTTTTCTAGAAAGGCACATGGACATGGCGTTTGTACAGGACCTGATGGACAGGGAGAATACACGGGAGCATGGCACTATGGATTTGAGGTTTCTTGTATCTTTTCTTATCAATTTACCATTTGCTTAGGTTTCTGGCGTCTATACTTGGCCTTCTGGCAGTACTTACTCTGGCCAGTGGCAAAACGGGAAACGTCACGGCCTAGGTGTTGAACAGCGCGGCCGGTGGACCTATAAAGGCGAATGGACGCAGGGCTATAAAGGCCGATATGGACGGAGGGAGGCGCTCAACTCTGGTGCTCATTATCTGGGGACGTGGTCAAGTGGACTTCACGATGGGTTTTGTTATATTTTTCTGTTTAAAATTTTTATTTTTTATGTTTCAGTTACGGGACTGAGATATACTCTGATGGAGGTTTTTTTAATTTATTCCCTCTCTCACTCATTTAAAAAAAAATTTCCAGGCTCTTATAAAGGCCAATGGCTGCGCGGTATGCGGCATGGTTATGGAATTCGAACAAGCGCTCCGTGGAGTGTAGCAACCCCAAATAACCACCAACACCATTCAGAACAGCAACAAAAACATAGAGGAGGACATACGTCTCTAAGTTCCCTACGCTCAAATTATGGAAGTGTTGCCATGTTGGATGATGAAAGAGCAGCAACTGCAATGGATACACCTCCCAATCATCACGGCAGATCACATTCTAGGGAAAGGAGGGGTGAACAAACAACTCAACTGGGTAATTTTTTATGTTTTTTGGGGTTCTTTACATTAAAGCATAAAAAAGTCCGCAAATAATGTCCGAAAGGCTGTACTTTCTAGAGTTCTAAATCAAATGCCTTGGTTCGAAAGTTTTTTAAATCCTTTTATTAGAAAATTAACTTGCGGATTATTTTTGATGACTTGTGAGTAAAATTGACAATCAGGGGTAGACAATCAGGGGTAGGGCTGAAATAACTAACAATAAGGTGCCGGAACTCGGAACTTCCAGGAATGGTCTAAAAGTTGGAACCCGGGAATCTGAATTCTGTCCGACCTCTGCTGACAATTAGAGAACCTCTATTTATTTTTTAGGCCATGACTTTTGTCTATAATTAAAAAAATAAATTTTAAATAAATAAATTTCCAGATGAAAGTCGAGGCGGTTTTGTGCTTAAAGCATATTCGGGTACTAACAAAAGACGCCGTTCTCTCTCAGAGCGTTCATTGGCAGTGAAGAGAAGTTTGAAAATCTTTAAAAAAATTTTTAATTTTTATCATTTCTTAAGGTATTCTTCAACGCATTAGAAAACAAAATTCTACCGGAGACATTATTCACCAACAAAGAGTATTTTCTTCTGCTGGTGGCGCTTCTTCACTTCGTTCCAGTGGAAGTACTTTAAGCTGTACTTCTGATGAAGAAGATTCGGGTGATTTGAGGCATCGTCCAAATTCTCAACGTTCTAGAGTTGCTGCGGAGGTTTCATTTTTTTTTAAATATTTATGAGATTATTTTGTCACTACTAAAATAACAAGGGAAGGGTGCCTAAATAATCACTTTTTAAGAGTTATTGTCGTCGGTTCTTTAAAAATTTTCGGATATCGAAAACCGGGCCGAAAAATCCCCAGTCCTTCGTGTTGGTTCTGGGCCGAAGAGCTTTATCTGGCATTACTAGGTAGGACAGGCCAAATCGGTTTTTAAGAGTTTTTTCCTAATTTTAGTGATGTTTTGTACTCTTAAGTTGTTCTGCTCCCCTTACTGTCATTCATTTTTGGTCCGAACCGAAAAATCCCCAGTTCTTCGGGTCGATTTTGAACTGAAGAACCTTATTTGACATTACTAGGGAGGAGAGGCCAAATCGGTTTTTAAGAGCTCATGGTTTTACTGCTGTTTTGTGCTCCTTTAAGTTATTCCGCTCCCCTTAAAGGTCCGTCATTCCTTTTTGATTTACTTCGATTTTCATTTTTATTTCTAAAATATAGGCAGCAACATTAGAGGAACCACCAATCGACGCGAATGCCGTAGAGATTTACCGAGGTGAATGGAAAAATGACATGCGCTCCGGTTATGGTGTTTGTGAACGTTCAGACGGTCTTCGTTATGCTGGGGAATGGTTAGATAATAGAAAACATGGATATGGAGTAACCTTCTTTAGGGACGGAACGTTAGTTTCTTTAAAAAGTTTTTTAAATTTCTTAAAAAAATTTTTTTGTAGTAAAGAAGAAGGAAGATATAAACACAATGTTCTTGTAAGCTCAGCAAGGCGAAAAGGCATACTTTTTGTTCGTTCAACAAAATTGAGGCATCGAGTAGAAATTTATGCTGAACATGCTAGGCAGGCTGCTGATATGGGTTTTTTAGGAATAAATTTATTTTAAATAAAATTAAATTTAGCTGCACAACGTGTTGAAATTGCTACATCAAGAACAATGACAGCACAAGTATTTTTTAAAAATAGAAAAAAAATTTTAAATGTTTTTTAGGAACGCGCTGATGCTAGCGTTGAAGCTGCTGATCGAGCAAGGGATGATGGAGACACTGCCCGTATTTATGCTGCACAGTTTGATCCAAGTTTTAAACAACCCGGCGTAGAATTATTACGTGCTAGAGCAGCAATGCAAAGGTCTGGAACTCCTGGAGGACAGTGAGTGTTTATAATTTGTGGTACTTTTTGGATATCCCGTCCCCCTAATTTGAGTCTCTTATTTTTCCTTCTCTATGATTTTTATTTTCCTGAAGCAATTTAAGTGAAATGCAGTCAAAAAATTTGTTTTCGGGGACTGGATATCTAAAAAGTACCTAATTTCTTACTTATTAAAAAAATTTTTTATAATTCAGCCAATCTGCCATTCCAATGCTTACACCAATTCATAATCATGTAATGGCCAATCATGTTCAATTTAATCATCAACAGCAACCACATTCACAAACTAATTATTCTAGTCCACAAAACCAACAATATGATTATTCTAATGCATTTGCAGTTGGTCCAATCTCTTCTTCATCGTTAATATTTTTTAAATTTTTAAATAAATAATTTTTCCCCTCTTCTAGTCAACAAAACATTGCATTTAATCAAATGCCCCCACTCCCTCCATTTGCTCAACAACAACAACAATTACGTCAAAGACATTTACAACAAACTTCAAAT